AGGGTTAAATGCTTTTTATGTCTAGGGGTAGATGAGAAGGCTGCATTAGGTACCTTACCCCCTTTCTGGCTGGCTCCAGAGCTGTTCTCTTCTCCCTCTGGCATGCCAGGCTCAGGGGTGTCCTTTACTATCATTTGAACAATACAGGACTTTTAACCCTTCTTTGTACAGGCGTGCGACCCTGGCTTGTAGCACTGGAGGAAAAGCTTTGCGGGATTGGTTGCACCATTGGAGGGACCTAACTGGAGCAAGAAATGAGGTATCACGCCTTATTCTTGGGCAAAAACAAGCAATTTAACCCTTGCAGTGTGGGAAGCCTCGCTACAAAAATATTTTATTTTTCTTGGGCTATAAACCATTAAACCATAAACCATTACTATTAACAATCTCTCTGCATGGAGTTCAGCTTTTATTTGCTGCTCTGTACATAAGTTACACTGATTACAGACGTAAGGTTTTGTGGCTGAAAACAGACATAACTGTCCTTAGATATTGTATGTAGCATATGAAAGTAAAAAAGTGTTACCAAATGCTTTTGAGGCTATAACCATCAAAAGAGGTCAGTCTTACGTAATATCCTGCTTTAGTGGGTTCTGGCAAATACACTAGCTATTGCACACAATGCAGTGCTATCCAGTAGTGATTCATTACTATCAGCAGTTCAGACTGTAAGCTATCAGGAGTTTTTTTTTTTTTTTTTTTTTTTTTCTTTATTTTAAGTTCATATGAGCAAACACTGTCTCTGTTCAGTTACCCAATAGACTAAAGACGACCATACATAACATAACATTTGTTATTTTTACTGGAGGATTTTATGGGGAATTCTCCTTTTTATGAATTAAAAACAGACCGTAAAGACCAGATGCTATGTACTCCTATATGGTCCCAGTGTATGATGAGAGCAGGTATAGCACACAGGCTTTGCTTGTTTTTTTTTTTTTGTTTTGTTTTTTAATTCATTTTGCTCTCCCTGCTGAAAACAATTTTAATGGAATATCACTGATGGAATAGCTCAGAAATCTGAGCCTGTGGTATTTAAAGTGTGTATGTGTGTGTGTGTGTGTATATATATGTGTGTGTGTGTGTGTGTGTGTGTATATGTGTGTGTGTGTGTGTATATGAAACATTGTGTGTGTGTGTGTGTGTATATGTGTGTGTGTGTGTGTGTGTGTGTGTGTGTGTGTGTGTATGTGTATGTGTGTATATATGTATATATATATATATATATATATATATATATATATATATATATATATATATATATATATAATATATTTTTTTTTTTTTTTTTTTTTTCACTAGTGTCCTCACATGTTCCCTTTTGGCATCTATCCAGGTGATGAATCAGTTTGTCATTTATGAGACAATTCTGTAACTAAGTCCAAATACAAATGAACTGCTTGTCTACATTCCTGGATTGCAATGGCTACTCCCTTGAAAAAGCTGTTAGGCTCTTGTGGATTATTCTTAAAACCTATTTTTCTGTCTGTTTCTTTAATTGGTGTAAACATTGTTGAACAAAAATTGGAGACCATTTTCTTGTGCATATTGGTAGTTTTAAGGCAACTGTGCAAAAATCTTATCAAAACCTAGTAGCCTCTAGTTACCCCCTACAGACCTTTGCTATTGGCACTTCCCCGCATAAACTAACTTCTGATGTATGAGGTGCATGGAAGTAGAACCGGTCTTCCCTTGCGCTGTCATGTGACAAGTCACATGATAGGGCACATAAGAAGCTAGGTTTTGCTTTTTAGCTATTCAAGGATTGAAAAACTTTGTCTTATACATAGAATAATTGTAATTTATTTTATAAAGAAACAGCTTTAAAGTGGTTGTAAAGCGTCATGTTTTTTTTTTTTTTTTTTTTTTTTTTCAATAAAAATAGCCAAGCATGGTAAACTTTCCTGCTTTGTGTAGTGGTTTTGCACAGAACAGCCCTGATCCTCTTCTCGTGTCCCATGCCGAAGCTGCTGGCTCTTCCTCCCGCCGAGTGCCCCCAGAGCGGCACTTATGCTTGTTAGCTCCCAAGCTGGCCCTGACACACACAAAGCATGGCTCTGCCCCGCCCCTTGCTTCTTCCTCACTGGCTTTAATTGACAACAACAGGAGCCAATGGCTCCCGCTGCAGTGCCTCAGCAGATGAGGAGAGAGAGAGACAAAGCTCTCCTGCAAATCGCTGAATCAGGTATGTATTAGGTGGGGTGAAGGGGGGAGCTGCACACTGAAGGTTTTTTACCTTTATGCATAGAATGCATGAAGGTAAAAAAGCTTCAGCCTTCAGAACCACTTTAACATCGGTTTTACATTTACTCCTTTATAACTGACACAGTCTTTTTTTTATGCACAGTGATGGGCATTTGAGTATTTTTAAGAGCAGATAACCCAAACAGTTTTTTGTGTCCTTTTTTTGCAGAACGTTTTAGATGCTGATGATAATTTTTGGGTAGGTTCAGGCATCTCTGATCTATATGTCCAGGATCAGAACGAGATTCTGATATCTTAAAGCTGTATTGTACCCGATTGAAAACATTTATTATATTGTAGCTTGCCATTTCTAAAATTTGATGGCTACATTCATTTTCATCTTTAGGTTTTCTTTCTAATATTTTCATCTGGTGATCCAGCTAGTCTGTCTGTCTATTTTTCTTTTTTTTCCAAAGGACTAAACTCTCCAGCAAATGTATCAGTTACAGAGATGAGGCAAACTATTTACCACTGATAAAGGTGCCCATAGTCGGCTTTTATTTATGTAAAAGCTTTTTCCCAAAAGAAAAAAAAAACTTGTTCGCAGTAACTGATTATAAAGTATGAGCTGGAGTTTGACTTCATATTGTTAGTGTATTTAAATCTGCTAGTACATCTAACACTCCCATCCCCCCAGAATGACAATGCTACTGTACAAAAGTGCCTCTGTGCTCCTTCAACCAGAGTGGGACACTCTAATACAGGTGGTGAGTTACTGACCAGATCACCTGGGGAAAAAAGCCCAAGAAAAGAAATGTAATGCAGACACCACATCTAATGATTGGTAAGCTGTGATATATTGCATTTTTGGTTTTGAGTATAAATACCGCTTTACAGTACAACTAAAGGCTCCAGCATGTGTCTATGCAAGTACCAAATCCAGTCCTTATGTGATACACAAGCCTCAAAGTAAATAGAAAAATTTCCTTTAGCTCTCTAGACTGAGCTATATTCTCCTACATCTGTCTCACACACTCCCCCTTCCCTGACACTGCAGCTCACAGAGGGAGGGTTCCAGCAACAGAGGCAATACTGTCTGTCCAGTAAACAATGGGCAGGATTATTTGTGGCCATGTTGTGATTGGCAAGCTACAGGCTTGAATTCAGGAGCAGTGCCTCATCATTGCTACTCCATCACAAGAAGCTGCATTAGGTGGACTTCACTGGCAGACTCAACAGGTATTTGTGGGACTCTGCAGGGGGACTGAGAAAACTGTACGTGCAGATGTACTTATTAATTGCTGCAGCACTTTTTTTTTGTTTTGTTTAATGGGAGGCCGTAGTTCTGGTTGAAGTGCTTCTAAAGGCATAGGTTTTTTTTTGTTTTTGTATTGTTTTGTGTTTTTTTTTATGTATTCTCTGCCTTACAGTGGTTATAAAGCCTAAATTTTTTTTACCTAATGCATGCCTTGCATATTAAGGTAAAAAATGTTTCGGCACTGGCTTTGCTGGAGCATCGGAACCCATTGTCTCCTGCTGCTGTCAATCAAAGCCAGTGACGAGGGTGCAGGGGGCAGGGCCGAGTTTTTCGATGTCTGTGTCAATGGAAGCAGCAGCGGGGCTCGGGTGCGCACAAGTGCCCCCCATGGGAAGCAGCTTCCCATGGGGGCACTGGACTGAGGAGGATCCAGAAGCGCCGACTGGGGACACGAGAATAGAGGGTTTGGGGCTGCTATGTGCAATTCTATTGCACAGAGTAGGTAAGTATAGAGATGTTTGTTATTTAAAAAATAATAATTTCCTTTGCAATCACTTTAAAGTAAACCATTATCGGCTTCCCTCTAAGACACTTATCTGACTGCTCTTTCGATCCAGTTTTGTGCCAGTCTGCAGCAGTGCTACTGTCTGCCTCCCCCCCCTCCCCCCCCCCCCTCCCCTCCCCTCCCTCTCCTCCTCTCCCTCTCCTCCTCTCCCTCTCCTCCGCTCCCCTCCCTTCTCCCTCTCTCTCTTCTCCCTCCCTCTCTTCTCCCTCCCTCTCTTCTCCCTCCCTCTCTTCTCCCTCCCTCTCTTCTCCCTCCCCCTCTCTCTCTCCCTCTCTCTCCTCCCCTCTCCTCTCCCTCCTCCTCTCTCTCCCCTCCTCTCTCTCTCCCTCCCTCTCTCTCCCCTCCTCTCTCTCTCCTCTCCTCTCTCTCTCCCCTCCTCTCTCTCTCCCCTCCTCTCTCTCTCCCCTCCTCTCTCTCTCCCCCCTCTCTCTCCCCCCTCTCCCCCCTCCTCTCTCTCTCCCCCCTCTCTCTCCCCCTCTCTCCCCCCTCTCTCCCCCCTCTCTCCCCTCTCTCTCTCCCCCCTTCTCTCTCCCCCCCTCTCTCCCCCTCTCTCCCCCTCTCTCTCCCCCCCTCTCTCCCCCCCTCTCTCTCTCCCCCCCTCTCTCCCCCCCTCTCTCTCCCCCCCCCTCTCCCCCCCCTCTCTCTCCCCCCCCTCTCCCCCTCTCTCTCCCCCCCCTCTCCCCTCTCCCCCCCCCCCTCCCCCCTCCCCCTCTCCCCTCTCCCCTCCCCCCTCCCCCCTCCCTCTCCCCCCCCCCCCTCCCCTCTCCCCTCCCCCCCTCCCTCTCCCCTCTCCCCTCCCCCTCCCCTCTCCCTCTCTCCCCCCCCCCCTCCCCTCTCCCCTCCCCTCCCCCCCCTCTCCCCCCCCTCCCCTCCCTCTCCCCTCTCCCCCCTCTCCCCCTCTCTCCCCCTCTCCCCCCTCTCCCCTCCCCTCTCCCCCTCCCCCTCCCCCTCCCTCTCCCCTCTCCCCTCCCCCTCTCTCCCCCCCCCCCCCTCTCCCCTCCCCCCTCTCTCTCTCCCCCTCTCTCCCCTCTCCCCTCCCCCTCTATCTCCCCTCCCCCTCCTCTCTCCCCTCTCCCCTCTCTCCCCCCTCTCCCCCTCTCTCCCCCTCTCTCCCCTCTCTCCCCTCTCTCCCCTCCCCCCTCTCTCCCCCCTCCCCTCTCTCCCCCTCTCCCTCCGTCCCCTCTCCCGTCCCCCCCTACCCCCCTCTCTCTCCCACCCCTCTCTCCCACCCTCTCTCTCCCCCCCTCTCTCTCCCCCCTCTCTCCCCTTTCTCTCCCCCCCTTTCTCTCTCCCCCCTTTCTCTCTCCCCCCCTTTCTCTCTCCCCCCTCTCTCTCTCCCCCCTCTCTCCCCACTCTCCCTTTCAGACACAGAGGCAGCAGCCATTGACAACTGCTTTCAGTCAAAGCCTGTAAGGAAGGAGCAGGGGGGTGGGATCGAGCTGCATGGTGTGTGTCTATGGACACACAGCCTAGCTTGGGAGTGCTCCCGCACAAGTGCCCCCCTAGCACACAAGTTGGTATGGGGGCACTCAGAGAAGAGGAGTGGCTGCTGGTTGGGAAAGAGGAAATTAACCACTGCTGTTTGCAGTACCATTACACAAAACAGGTAAGTATAACATGCCTTTACATTCACTTTAATAAGTATGTGTCTGGATTAGTGCTAAATTGAGAGGCAGGGAAATGAGTTCTTCACTTTCATGATGGCTGATAAATTACAGCTAAGAGTGAAAAGTGTGAGCGATGTGACCTACATTCCAATTAATGACACACACACATAAACACAGATCCACCTTCTTCATGTGGGCAGGAGGCAAGGATGCTGTGACTGGTCCCAGCAAATTTCAACACAGAAAGCACTGCGACGAAGTCCCAGCAGTCAGAAGATTCTAATTTACTTCTCCTGTGGATAATAAATGTGCACACGTCCTGACACAGCCTGACATAACAAGCTGGTTTTCTGAGGCCGACACTGCTCAGACCTACACGTGTACACAGAAGATGGTGGATACTTGGAGAGAGATGGAGTCTGAAAAGTGATCACGTACTTGTAGAGGATGCCAAAGAGGAAGGACTCGAGCTGAGGGACTAGTGAGTGCGGTGCATGGGCTGTGTGCCTGCTTTTCATGTATGTACTGACTTTTGTCATTCTTATGCCAGAAATGTGGTTTGTAAATCATTTTGGTTAAATATTTTGTCCACTAAAACTGCTAGTGTTTACTTACACATCTATATGTGTGTGTAATAAATCATTGTTTATGGTGATTGCAGTAGGATTGAAAATCCTTGTACTTCAACAATAGGCATGACATACCATTTCTAGTGGGACAGAGTAAGCAAACTCCACAACTAAAGCTGGCCAGCATGGATCGAAAATCGGCCAGTACAGCAGGGACCAGATGAATTTTGTTTTGGTTGAACAGAAGTCAATCTACCAATCAACTTGCGTATGACCATTCTGTCAGATTTTAACCGCTCAGTCAGCCCTGTAGGCTAAAGCCTGTGGTGCTGATCAGTCTATTCTGAAGGTGGGGAAGCCTACCTACTTTCCGAGTACAATGACACAACAGGGAGGATTCCCCCATACACCTCCAATATGAGGATGGGGAATTTGGATCTTTTTTTTTTTTTATCTGATGGTTGACTGAAAAACAAAGTCATTTATGGCCTGCTTAGAGAGATGCTGCAGTCTCCCCCCCAAAAATGTTAAAGTCAGCATCTACAAATACCGTAGCTGCTGACTTATACTATAAGGATACTTACCTGTCCAGGGATCTAGCGACGTCCTCACCCGAGCCAATTCTTCAAAGGTCAAGGCTTCAGATACAGATGCCAGCATCTAAGGTAAGGGAAAGCAGCAGTGAAGCTTTCTGGCTTCACGGCCAGTTTCCTGCTGCACATGTGCGAGCCGTTGTGCGCCTTGTGAATGGTTCTGCTGTCTTCTGGGATCTGTGATGTATCCCAGAAGGCTGCAGGGGGGGAAGGAGGAGGGACCAGATGTCACTGCAGCAATCAAAACCGGATACCCCACCCCCAAAAAATGCCAAATGAGGCAGTGGAGGGGGGGGATGCAAACAAGCAGAGCGTCCCAGTTTGGGTGAAGTTCCCCTTTAAGTTCTCAAAAGGTATAAAAGATGTTGGCGATGCAACTCTCTGGCATCAAATCTTACGTACACTGTAAAAAGTGACAGTAGTATTGTTTCAATACTATTGAAATTGTAATTGAGTACAAAGGATGTATTTCTTTGAGTATTGATCTTTCCTTTAACAGAAGACTAACTTTCTGTCACTCACATTCTAATTGTGCTAAAGTTAAGTATATATTATAGAGAAGTGCATATTATATTCTAATTATATTCTGTGTACTACAGGCAAAATCAGGATGTACCACAGTCACTCCAGCATAGACTGTCACACTACCACAGTCCCACCTCATCTCTCACATCCCTGGGATCTATGAGCCTGCTACAGTCCCCTCCACCTTCAGGCATGTCTCCGTCTCAACTTCCATCTCCAAGCCATGTGGAATTCTTTTCAGGTCCTCCACGGCCCCAGCAGATGCCTGCGCAGTTCCATCATACAGATTTTTATCGCACGTCTCAGCCGTACATTGGACAGCAGCAGCAAACACAAATGGACCCTGGACTGACAAGGCCTCCTCCGTTACACTCCCCATACACCCAGATGCAGGGTGACCCATTTGCTATTGTGTCCCGAGCTCAGCAGATGGTTGCTGTACTCTCTGAAGAGAACCGGTCCTTGCGCCAGGAGTTGGAAGGGTGCTATGATAAAGTGGCAAGGTTTCAAAAAGTAAGTATTGCTCCGTACATTAACACTGTGACAGACCGATGTCTGTTAGAAACGAAAAGTGTATATCTCAAATTGAGCATAGCAGTTTACCTACAATTAGAACGTTTACAAATATTGAATGCAAAAAAAATGGGCAACATGATTACTTTATGGCCAAGGGTGCAACAGCTTTTAGTGGCCCATGTTGGTGCATCCCAACATTTACAACAGGAGTTTTATGGGAAGTATAACACAAGTAGCAGGGATAATGGTTCCGCAGTATTGCCTTTCTGCAGACTAAGAGAATTACATATCACACTTTCTCTAATTCAGATTATTAAATATAGAAAATAACAAGTATTCATGCACAAGGTGTTTGCAACACCTAAAGAGAACCTCTCCTCTTCAGTGCTGTCATTTGCACTATTGAAGTGGTCTTCCAGACTATTGCCCCATTTTTATACTTTCCAGCCTATGAACAGACCATATTAAACTACACTAAAGTGTATGTAAAAGTCAGATTTCGGTCAGGTTCATTGCCTAATTTGTATAATATAGTTTGGGTTGTACAAGAATTTAGGAGCCACAAAGTCCAGCAGGCATTTTAAGGGCGTGTATCAATGGGCTTATGTTCACATCAGATGGGCTTTGCATTCCCATTAAAGTCTATGGAAATGCAAAACTCACTTCAAGCTCTTCAAATGCACCTGTCAATGAATTCTAAATGATCTCAGAAGTGTCCTAAACTGATGCCATTGACACAGCTCAAAGCCAATTGACACAGGCCCTGAGAAGGCTAAATGCATTTTCATCCATGAAGTCAGTAAGGCAGGTTTAAAAAAGCCAAGCCCTATCTGTAATGTTCTGAGCTCGTTGGCTTTTGATTGTATCCCCTTCTTGTATTCATATTGAACATTGTGTTATTCTACTCCTTAATCGCATGCAGTTACTAAGCACTGATGACAATTTCGTCAGTACTCTCAATCCTATTTTAGGAAATTTGTTGCTCACAGACTCTTCTCCTCATCCTTATTTTACTGTTCCTTATGACATTTCATTAGATTTGCATTCCACAGCAATTTTGTTTACTCCTGCTCTGCAGTAATGTTCTGAAAATGAGTTGTATGTTTTATTCCCTTCTGGGGATGCATCCAAAAAATTAATTTGTCACACCCTTCAAAGGTCACTCACAGTTGGGTAGACTGCCAGTTAAAACCTTGTTTTGAATGTAACGTGAGAGAGGGGCAAGTTCTTTTGATATTTTGTTGTTGTCTATGTTCCCACTTGGGGACATTTCTCCTTTTCCTCCTGGCCCGCAGTGACAACACAAAATGAGAGTGTCATCATACAGTTGGGTAGACTGCCAGTTAAAACCTTGTTTTGAATGTAACCTGAGAGGGGCAAGTTCTTTTGATATTTTGTTGTTGTCTATGTTACCACTTGGGGACATTTCTCCTTTTCCTCCTGGCCCGCAGTGACAACACAAAATGAGAGCAAGTCCTGTTGAGGTAAATGTATAAGAACACCAGATGAGTTGGGACTTTGTTGGGTGGCCATCTTAGCACAGTCCTACTACATGACATGGCAAATTGCCTTGTCTCTGGTGTGCCCAGTGCGCAGCGTAGTGCAAGGAAATCCACCACCTTGCACTGTGCTGCTGGAAAGTAAACTTAATGAAATCTCACTGTGACTTTTAAATAAAGTTAACATACATGTGAATAGTGGATGCACCGAGATTGACAAATCGTCACTGTGGCAATCCTGCCGGCCCACACCTTACACCAGCAGCTGCATTGTAGTTCAGCAGCTGGTGTGAATTAGCTCTTAATCCCGCCTCTCGACCGATGTCTCTTTTTGGTGGATATCCCTTCTACTTCTGTGCCAATGAAAACCATGCAATTTTAGATTTTTACATTAAAATGGTCAGGGGAAAAATCTCCCAGAGAACTTGGACTGTAAAATGCTGCAGAGGTTCTAATCCCACCTCACTGTATCCAAAAGTGGAAAAATATTTCTGCCTGGGGATTCACTTTTACTTTACATAACCCTATGGAACAACCTAACTCCTCAAGTACACCTGTTGACTTACTAAAGTGTAAAAGCGGGTTAATATTCCTTCTTCCTTCAAAGTGAACTTGTATAAAGCTTGCCACATCACACAATGGAGGTGCTATTGATATGCATTTTATTAGCTAGGCTCCTGGAATCTAAGTTCTGCTATGCAATGAATTCAAGGAAGCTGATATAAACACAGATTTGAGGTACACATTGTAGCTGTATTTAAATACACATGTACATTTTTTATATTTGACAGGACTTGAGGCTTTAAATGCTTCTTTCCGGCAGATATTCAGTAAGTTTTTATATAAAATGAACATATATTACAGGTGATATTATTATAGGATTAACGTACTATAAATTTATCACAAGAGATGGATCTATAGTAAGTTCCTTCTATAAAAAATATACACTCACCGGCCACTTTATTGGATATACCTTGCTAGTGCTGAGAAAATATCCCCCACACCATTAAACCACCACCAGCCTGAACCGTTGATACAAGGCCGGATGGATCCATGCTTTCATGTTGTTTACGCCAGATTCTGACCCTACCACATGAATGTTGCAGCAACCAGTCTGTCCATTCTCCTCTGACATCAACAAGGCATATTCGTCCACACAACTGCCGCTCACTGGATATTATTTTCTCTTTTTTGGACCATTCTCTGTAAACCCTAAGAATGGTTGTGTGTGAAAATCCCAGTAGATTAGCATTTTTTTTAAATACATGGACAAGCCCGCCTGGCACACACAAACATGCCACATTCAAAGGCACTTAAATCCCCTTTCTTCCCCATTCTGATGCTCTGTTTGAACTTCAGCAAGTTGTCTTCACCAGGTCTAGATGCCTAAATGCATTGAGTTGCTGCCATGTGATTGGCTGATTAGCAATTTGTGTTACCAAGCAATTGAGCAGGTGTACCTAATAAAGTGGCCGGTGAGTGTATATCAGAAGAGATGATCTATTGGGGAAGAAAATAAAAATATAATTCACTTTTTAATATTGAAAGCCAGTCTCATTTTCAAGGATAAACATTTATTTGAGAAGATCTTTAAAGCCCAGTATCCTCATCCCTGTTGGCAGCTGTTGTGCTTATATAGAGGATGCTTTCAATGTCTGCAGCTTTTAAAATATTTTGAAGGTATGGTAACATAAAATGTAATGTATGTATCTGTGCATTTTATTGTAATTGTAAATCTGGTTTGTCCTCATTTTGGGCAGGGAGGAAACAGGTGCAGTGTGTCATTAGAGGGAGTGTAAGTTTGGCTGTATGCCTCATGACGTTTTCCCTGGCACATTTCAGATGGAGATGGAAATCCAGAGAGTTTCTGAAGCGTATGAAAATCTTGTAAAATCCTCATCCAAGAGAGAGGCTCTAGAGAAAGCCATGAGAACAAAGCTGGAAGGAGAGATCCGCAGAATTCATGACTTTAACAGAGACCTTCGAGGTACCATACCACAGCTAATGGTGTTTCTTTGACCATTACAACCATATTATGCTATGTTTTTATTTATTTTGTTTTGTTTATTATGATTACAAATTTTAATAAATGGCAAGAGGTGTAATATATTTTTTTTTTTTTATTTGGAAATGTTTTCTTTTTGTTTTTTTTATTTATTTTTATTTTTGCAGTCTCATCTTCTCACTTGGTGGGCATGTGTGATGACACTTGTGTACAGGTATAATGCACTTGGGGCATGAATCAGAGTGCAGCTTATCTTGTGCACAAACCTGGTCTTTTTGCATACTGAGGTGTTGTTTTTTGTTTTTTTGTTTTTTTTTTTTTCATCCTGACTTTAGTTTCATGTGCATTGCAGCTTACCTTGTAGAGGTGTACGGGAAGTGTGTGTATGCACGAACGCAGGTTGGACGCACTAACACTATATGGATAATTTACTCAGTATATTCAAACTTGGATATAACAAAGTGGCAAGTGGAGTTAGTGACTTTGGCAAGTCTCCCTCTAGATATACATTTTCATTCAAAATTAATTTCAGTTTTGTTGAGGAAAAGAAACGGAGGCCAGCTTTATACTGGATGTTGCAAAGATTTTTTTTCAGAATTTGTTGCAATATCTCTTACCCAGTTATTTGTTGAAAGTTATACATGGATTCCGTTCACTTTTTACTTCCTGAGTGCTAAGTTGGAGGGTCTACCTTCTACAATCACATGACCAGTCTTCGGTTTCTACAAATACGAACTGCTGAGAGAAGGAGATACTAATCAAATGGACAGTAAGGGTACGTTCACACTAGCTTTGTCAGCAGGCATCAGACAGGCGTTTGGGAAGCGTTTTTAATGCTTCTGGAACGCCTATGAAAATTCTGCACATGGCAGCACACAGTGCTGTTCACACGAAGCTTTTGTATCGCGGCAAAACTGACACCTCATTTTGAGTCAGGAGGAGTTGAAGCCTCTAATTCAAGTCTATGGTGAGGCTTCTCAAACGCCTGGCAGGTGTTTGTGGAGCATTAATACCATTAAACTTCATTATAGTCGTTTGGGGTGGGGTTTTAACGCTTTGCAAACACCTCAAAAATGTGCATAGAGCGTTTTGGGAATGTTAAATGCTTCCCTAACGCCTGTCAAATGCTATAGGGGTGTTTGGCAGGAGTTATAAATAAAGTCAAGTGTGAACTTGGCCTAAAGGAGAACACCCCCAGAAATGTGATTCCCTACCTTGGTTTCATGGAACATATTTTTTTAATTTTAACTATTTTCTAAAATCGGATTAAAAAATGCTATATCCATCTTTTATAGCATCTTACTAATAGGTTTGAGAAATCCTTTTGTTTCAGTGAAAGCATCTCTGTAGGTCTGTCACTTATAGACATACTATTAACACACATTTAGCAGCGTTCTACAAAACACAAAGAAATCTTGTATGTAATAGTCATGTTATTACTATTACTGTCCAGTTCAGAAAATTAAAATTTAGTGTCTGGTTGTTATGGACAGCACCCAGATCACCCATGTTAGACGTTTTTTAGTATTTAATATTCAGATGAGGCACAGGATTTGCCCAAATAGGTGACTTGTTTTAGGTTTAACACTGCTGTTTGATAATCCTTATAGTAGAACACGCTTTTTTTTTCATTTTGGATGAAGTAAGAGAGGGCTATAACACCTGTCAGTATTTTTTTTTTGTTTCATTTTTTTTTTTTTTTTTGCCATCCGTGTCCCATTGTGGAGATTAACCATCACTTCCTGTTCCATAGCCAAAACAGGAAATGAGAGGAAATCCCTGCATATTAAAGAATTCCTTGGGCCCCCCAGGTCACTAGAATTAATGTCCCCATTGGAGGATTTCCCCTCTTACTTTTCTGGGGCTCAAACCAAAATTTGGGATTTTCCTTACTTTCACTTTCAATGTTAATGGTAAACAGGACAAATAGAGAGGGTGAATCTCCCTAATCGGGTCACAGGCAGCAATAACCCTAGGTTAACATCTGTGCGGGTGGTGCCACTGTGGATCCGCACGCAAATCTGTGCAGCCCCACCACCCACACAGAGAAATGCGGACCCGCGGGTGGGTGCCATTAGTTCTAATGGCACGCCGCCCGCACTGGAACACGCAACCGTACTGGGAACCGAGGTTCCTGTGCGGGCTGCGTTTTCCAAAGAAGTGCAGGGACTTCTTCCCTGCGTGTCACGGGGACGGGAGTCCATTCAAATGAATAGGCGCTCGTGCGAAACGCGGCCCGCACGGCCGCATATATGTGAACCGGGGGTCAGAACTGACAGGTGTTCTAATCCATCTTCACTCTGTCCACTCTGTTTTCTAGGGGCCCCCTTAGAATGTGAAAGGAGCACACGGTTCTTTGTAAATACAAGCAGGAATACAGGGGTCATATTCTAGAGTAGCACAGGATGAAAATGACATTGTTTGATCATTTAACATAACAGTAATCTGTATGTAAACATTCACTATAAAATGATTCACTAAATAAAAAAAAAAAAAAAAAAAAAAATGGGGGGGGGGGGGGTGTTGGGTTACTGCTTCCATCTCAGCCTGTGCCAGTTATCACATTTTCCTATATCATGTGAATATTGCTGGTGTGACTCTGTTAGAATATTACAGAATATTATTTAACTCTACCCATTTGCTCATGGGACTTTTGTTCTCATAGCAAGGCAGTTCAGGCATTCACTAGAATAGAGTTATTCTCTTTCACAATTATTGGGTGTTTCCTATATTAAAGACCAGCCCGTCATCAGAATGGTTTTAACCATGTGCATTGTCACTTAATTCCAACTCCCCCTCAAAATAATCATCTTCAATTAATCTGCTTCCTCTGAAATGTCTCTGACTGATGCCTGCAGGTTTGCGGTGTTTAAAAAAATTCCAGCAAGCAAGTTAATGATGCATCACTACTATAATAAGTAAGCATTACATGTAGTGTTATGCTGCGTGTGTCCAATAAATGGCTGTATTGATTAAAGCTAAACTCCAGACGAGAAGCTACATTAGCGGCTGATGTACAGATATGGGAGCTGTTTTGTTTTCCTTAGGAATTATAATATCTGGGATTCGCCCAGCCCTTCAGAGGGCAGAACACAGTTTTAAAACTTGGTCCCCTTCCTTTGCTCGGCAGTAGGGAACCTTATCTTTTTCTTCTCTCCTTCTGTCAGCATGTTCCTTATTAACTCCTCTGTACCGAAGATTCCAAGATGGATGATTTCAGGATAGCTTTACAGACTTGCACTATCTGCATTTATTTTTTGTAATGAACACATGAATTTTAAATAACTTTTTTATATCTTCTTGGAGTTAAGCCTTAAGTTAATATGAAGCAGATTTCTTATCAAGCAGTGGAATTTTGAATGTTTGTAATTAAATGTACATAGTGTGCTATATATCAAGAGCAGGCTATTTTGTAAATTTAGTATTTTATTTTATAGGTTCACTAAATATGTATTTCCAAGAGATATGAGGCACTTCTGGCCTCAGTGATGTGGCCAATTCCCACTGAAGGAATAGGCTCCATTTTCAGCAATGTTAATTGTGGAGACAAAACGGCCACATCTGTTGTGTATATGTGATGCTTCCTGTTTAGGTTGCTGCTATAAAACATTTCTTAAAAGACTTAACCTTTCTTGTTGTAGCTGAGGAATTGTTGGACCCATATCAGAGTAAACTCTGCAAGCGTTTAGTTTCCATGCATTGTTGCATCATTTCAAGAACCAGTAAAAAGTCATTTCTTCCCCCTTTAGAGCGCATGGAAACCGCAAATAAACAACTTGCAGCAAAGGAATTGGAGGGGTCAGAGGACAACCGAAAGACCATATCACAACTTCTAGCTCAAAGTAAGTTTCTGCAACAACTATTTATTTTCCATTGGGACCATTAACTCCATGACTCATACTTAAGGAAACCTATTAAATAAGAAATTGTGAAGGACAACGAAAAAATGCAAAGTGCAGTAGTAACTCCTAGCAGCCATTCAGTACTCTGCACTCTGGTTGTTGTGTGTTTACAGATTGCCCTTGCTTTGCTGCACTTTTTTAATGACTACGACTGGTAGTATACATACAAAATTTTTTTTTCTATCCCTTATTGGGACATTGGTTCATTTTATTCTGGTTGACCTCACCATTGGTTGTATACTGAAGAAGGCAAACTGGATATGTCTTATGCATAATTATCGAATTACAGTAATCTTTAAATGACAAAAACAAAGTTTGATGCTCTGGACATTTTATACTTTGCCTTTTCTATAATAATAATTTTCAGCTTTGCCTGTTTAACCCCTTCACGCCAACACACACAAATATGCAGCCTCACAGAACTGGGCTTTTGTACCTGTCTTTGTGCTGGGAGCGTGCCATACAGTGCGTTCCCAGCACAAAGAACATGATGTCACTGAGAGCTCCGGGTCCCGTTCTAACGATCGGGACCCGGGACTCCCGAATCCGGGTCACACGATCGCTGTAATAGCCTTTGGCTATCACAGTGATCAGTCACTGTGAAGCCTGCCCCCCCTTGGTTTTTTTTTTCCTTTCTTGTATTTTTCCATCTCCTTGCAGAGAGAAAAAAACAAACAAAAGAAAGAGATAAATTAAGTAAATATTAAAAAATAAAGAAAATATACCTAGATCAAGGTTTGATCTAGTTCAGTGCCAGGGTTAATGTTTGGGTCAATGGTCAGGATTTTTTTTTTTTTCATTTGGTGTCAGTGTGTTTTAGGTAAAGAAAAAAAAACAAAATCTGCACTATTGTGTCTGGGCTGTAGTATAGGTACAAACAACATACACATATATGATGTCGCTGTGATCGTCAAGAGCTGGAAAATTTATTTTGTGTTGTTCTTTGGTGGTAGGTTATGGTAGTAACAAAAAACACACAGCTAAATTAATAAAAAAAAAAAAATTACCATTTTGGGCCAGTTTTCCTTTGGTAATGGATATCTCCTGATTTTTTATTTTTTTTTTTATTACTATCATTTACCACCAAATGAAAGCCCAATTTGCCCTGAAAAAAAACACGGTATAATTCACCTGGATGTACAAAGTAGTTGTGATGATATGTACGGTTTTACTAACACATGTCAGAGTTGTAAAATTTTACTTGGGCTTTAATGTTTGTTTTACCCTTAGGCGTGAAGGGGTTAATAAGGCGGTGAGACGAATGACAGTGTGCTGTAAAATCATTACTGCTAATCAGATTTCACTGGAATATATTACTTAAAAAACACATTGGAATTATGAGTTATGATTTCTAGACATTTGCTGTGGCCATTAATATTTGCCAAGATGTTATACCAAAGATCTTACCCCTTCATATCACACTACTCTAGACAAAAGTAGTTTAAGATTGGACTACAGGCAAACTTTTTTTTTTTTTACTTTTCCAGTTTTTGGCAGGGGTGACTAGAGGGAAATCTCTATCAGGGAGCAAGATAAAAGGACTTGTTTTATCAGTTGAGGCTCTGTTGTATTTTAATTATTGCTATATTCCATCATCTTCTCTACCAGTGGAAGTGAGGGGAAATATACCCAAAGGGGACACAAAGCCCTGACAAAGGTACTTAATTTTCCTCCACTGTCATGCGGTGCTGGTTCTTCTGGGCTACTCTGGGCACCTTGAACAGAGTCACTGCCTTGCACATGGGGTACCTTTTTATCTTGTGCAAATGACTGGACTTGGCTCTCCATGTCTATGTACATCACTATGTCACTTGCTGCATTTTAGGAGACACGGTAAGCCTATGCCTTCTCCACCTGTCTAGCAGATCTCCTCTACCTCACTACCAGTAGTGGAATGGAACCTCACTGTGCACTTAGCACAGGCATCATTTGTGCACTCACTTAGTTGTAAATGTCAGACATGAAATATGAACAAAGCATATTCCTCTATAGTGTGTACTTATCTCAAGAGCACTCAGTGTAATTTCTGCCTGCTGCCTCCTTCCTATGCAATCAGCTTCAATCACTTCTGAAAAAAGTTTTTTCTGACACCAAGAGAAAATTGGTGACAGGAGAGGGAGCCCCAGCTGATTGATAGCCTCAGCTTTATTCCTATGTGCTGTGTGAAGGTGGGTGAACCCTTCCCCTCTAATCAGCCCTCTTCTCACTGAGCTATGCAGAGTGTAACTTCAGCTCTCCGCCTCTTTGTTTTCTGAACTCTCAGACAAGCTTTAAATATTCAGGATTTAGAACAGATGTAGAGAAGAAAAGACTGCAGATATACAGGATGAAACAAATCCTCCTACATACGTTGTACCTGTCTATCACTTGAAGCCCATCACTGCACTAGGTATATGTAAGGGATTACAACCACTTTAAGGACACATTCACACTTATGGCTGACATGTTTCTGCACTGCATCAATGCCAGCGTCTGCAAGGGCTTATAGAAAACAACTGTTTTGTCTGTGCCTCATTCACACCACAACACTGGTGTAATGTTCACTGCGGTATAATGCGGAAAAATGCAAACCTGCTGAATTTTGCCAGTGTACTGGATGGCAGTACAGGTCACTGTACCTCGCTGCTGTGAGGAGGCCTTAACGTACACTGTACCGCTATACTACACGGCGGCCACTAAGTGCATGCTAAAATGGAAGGTTTTTTCATGCAGCTGTTGTGAACGAGTAAGGAAATTATTTTCAGATTGCCATCTCCTTTTTATTGGGGGTCTGGGCTCATGTGAATTTCCCTGCAGTTTAAAACCCAGCAGTAATATTAAGATGATGAATTCCAGATTGCTCCTTTCTGCCCTCCTCCCATACCCAACTAATCCATGGCATAAAAACCCCAAATGCCCCTTTTACTCACCAAAATTCTCAGTCACATGACATTTCTGTGCCGAGTCTTCTCTCCTCTTCCATGCACAGGAAGCAGTTTTTTTCTTCATGTGTCCACCTCACCACTTGTGTGAAATGGACACTTTCTTTTGAAAGCCTCTGCTGTATTTGAAATACAGCAGAGACTTTGTATTGGATGATATCAACATGAGGGATCTGTTGGAGATCAGCCGTCGCATGCACATTTTCAGTCCTTGATTACCAGTCCCACACACCTGGAAATGTGCCAGTGAGGGACCCAGATGGCAAATTTAGAGAAATATGAAATGCTCCATAAGGGTTTTTTTAAACTTTGCCCACAGGTGGGTTTTAACGCAATTTCTTGTATTCAATTATATTTACCATACTTAATAAGAGCCTTTTTTTCAGCAATTGGTGTGATCGATTTTACAAAGCAGCATTGGCTATTTAGCGCCATGGAAACAGGCACGTCTGCTGACATCCTTAGGGCTTGTTCCTACTTTAGCTGCTTTGATCAGATAAACTTTCTGCATCAGGACCTAAGCTGACTTTTAGCTGTAGAGAATAAGGGTTTTTTAAAGCATAGTAATGCGTAGTTTGGGAAGATTTACTTTGAATTTCACAGTCTGTTAAAATAAAAATCTCTGAAAGCTTTAAATTCTTGGTTAGCCAGAATCTGTGGTCTCTCTTGTCTATTTTATTCATTTGGATGCTCAATGTTTGATGTTTCTTTAGTTTGTCTTTGATCTCAATTTTCCCACCCTGTGGAGGGAGGGGTGGCTGTGATGTGGTTCCCATATACAGCCAAGCTTTTTAAAAAGTGAAATATTTTTCCAGCTAATATAAAGCAGACAGTCTTTTAAAACTCGGCTAATTGTTGGAGTTAATTAAAGGTGTTTACATATTTTCTGTGGGAGTTACCTCTTTTCAAGACCATATTTTCTGTGGGTGTTGCCCTGTTTAGTACCAAGCATGCTTCCTTATTTCTACACGAGGAGATGTCCCGGTGTAAAGTTCTGCATATAGCCGTGTATATATATCTATACTCCTTTCAGATTGTATTCAAGCATATAAATACTGTGAAGCTGCTCTGACAACAAATAATGGTGGTCATTTCATAATATTGAATTCTTCAGTGAGTTCACATTGTCCTATAAAATAATAGCCTTTCTTGAAATAATGAACTATCCCAACCGCTGCTAGGAGGTTTCCCTCAATTGGGGCTCCTACGCACCCCTGTCCCAAGCTCAACATTTAAATACCGTATTTTCCGGCGTATAAGGCGACTGGGTGTATAAGACGGCCCTCTAATTTTCCAGTTAAAACATAGGTTTTGGGATATACTTGCTGTATAAGACTACCCCCCTTCTGAGGCAACACCATTTAAAAACATCAGATTTTTTAATTGAAATGGTTATGACTTACCGGTACTTAAAATCCTTCAAAATCCTCACGTTCATCCTCTGACATCATAAGTTCATGAATGACATCTTGTGATACATTTGTAAGACAGTCATCATATGGATCAAATTCCAAATCAGATGGTTACCGCTGGATGTGCGGTAATACGGTAGCTTCGACTACATACAGTATATATACAGCCTGCTGGATGTGCGGTAATACGGTAGCTTCGACTACATACAGTATATATACAGCCTGCTGGATGTGCGGTAATACGGTAGCTTCGACTACATACAGTATATATACAGCCTGCTGGATGTGCGGTAATACGGTAGCTTCGGCTACATACACTATACATTATATATACAGCCCGCTGGATGTGCAGTAATGTACATACAGTATACCGCGCTGAGCCAAGCTGACTCAAAACAAATGTCCCTATGAAAGATTAATCTGTCAGCCCGCTGGATGTGCAGAATATACAGTATACTGAGCCAAGCGGTTTCAAAACGTACCGGTACATCCCTACGGTAATCAGACCGCTGGATGCGTGTATGCACGGTAGCTGAGGCTACATACAGTATACGCTGGGCCAATCACAGTGAGCGATGTATTCTACTAATGAATACAAAGCCTGCTC